GAGGGTGAGGCGTGGCCTTTGTGGTCTCCCCCAGCCATGGGGCTCTGCTACCTTTCCCGTCCCCTTATCCACCCCTTTCTGTGGAGAATGGAGAGCATTTCAGTTTGATCGTCTGAATCTCACTGCCAAGGAACTTTTCAGTACTGAAGCGTTACTGACTCAGGTTACTGACGAGTTTCTTGCGACGTTATTTACAGTGAGACTTCTGCTGTGGTGTTGAACGGCACTGAGGCTGGCCAAGGCTTCTGGGGTGAACTGAGAGAAGCCAACATTTGTCTTGGGGTCCCACAGTCAAGCACACACACCGGGGGAGGGGGCACTCCAAGGGAGTCTTTCTAATCGGCACCAAGGCCAGACTGCAGGCAGGCACAGAGAGGCCCGAGGAGACACGGCCACAGCTCCCCAGAGTGCAGGCCCCATGCTTCCAGGAAGATAACAGGACAGACATAATGCAGGGTTTCGTAACTGGGAGCACCGCTGCCGGCCTGGGGACATCTCGTAATGACCGAAGGCATTTGTGACTGTCATGACTGGGGGCCCTGGTGCCGCAGGTGTCCGGCAAGGGAGGCACGGAGGCTGCTAAACATCATACAACACGCAGGGCATCCCACGACAAGGAAGTGTCCAGCCCCAACCTCAACAGTGCAGGCTGAAGAGCCTCGTCTAAAGGGACAGCTGAGGAACCTGGAAGGAGTGGCAGCCCTGGGGCACAGGCAGGACCCACCTTTCGGAGGCCAGGGGTGCTGGGGGCAGGGGAAGGAGGAGACTGTGGGGAGACCCTCAGTGACAGAAGCCTCGATTTCAAGTTTACTTGGCTGATCACCTCATTCTTGAAAGGGCACCAAAAGCAAGCTAACATTCTAATCTGGAAGCAGGCAAGGACAAGCCTGCCCTGAGATGGATCACTGGAAGTGGCAGCAGACCTGGCTTTGCAGGGCGTGGAGAGCTGGGTCTCTGACACCTGTGTTCATCCATGCACATGTGGAGGTGGCTGCACGCACAGACACACGCCCTCTAATCTGAGCTGCCCCTCTCCGTGTGCTGCACCTCACCCCCTGTGCCAACAGTCTCAGTCTCAAAACAGCCTTGGAAGGTGCCATCCAAGGACATGTCACACAGCACCTGAGGCGGGACATCCAGAACATTCCGGGCCATGGTTAAGAAATGGTAGAAGGATAAAGCGGACTCATGAAACCAGAGTGCTCAAGAGATGCTTTAAATGTCTGCAAAACACAACCCAAACATCCTTCTAGAAACTGGCCCCAGCCCGGCATAGAGGAGTGCTGGAAATTCTCCAAACATCACCACACCGTGGCCATCAGGTCTTCACGTTCTTCTCCAGGTACCAGCTCCTAATTTCAGACACGGACTTTTATTCGGGGACACTGACTTTCTGCCACCGAGACAGGTGTCCTTCCTTCGAGGTCTATAGAGGGCACCTGTGGGTGCAGCTCCTTGGGAAGAGATCCCAGCATGCATCCATGTCCAAGGGAAGAGACCCCAGCACCCATCCATCTCCAGGGCACAATGGCCACCCACACGCGAGGACCACTTCCTCAGCACGCAGCCTCCAGGGTAAGCCTTCTTTAAAATGAGGCCCCTCACACATACAATGGCTCTCCACTGATCCCCTTACGAGGCTTGGGTAACATATGACTTGAAAGGTCACCGAGGCCCACCTCTGAGCTGCAAATGAGAATTCATAACTTCTGATGCCACCCACAGAAATGTGGAAAGCGTGGGGCCACCACAGTCAAGACCTTTGCCTGTGTGCGGCCGGTCACCACGTGGGCGGCCGGGACTAAAGGAGAATGAGTTTCTGGGAGAATTATGTGATCTTGAGCCTGACCCTTAGGCTCTTTGAGCCTTAGTTTTCATTTTTGTGCACAGAAAGGACATAGTGTCTCCTACTTGGCTTGGAGATTGTCTGGTTGAGGTCACATGTGAAGAGGTCCAGGCAGCCTTAGCTTGTGGTCACCCCTGCAACAGCCAGCCCTGGCCCAGGCTTGAGAGTGACGCAGCAGATCTGGGGCCAGACTCATTCGCCAGCTGTCACGAGACATTGAATGTGGGACGATCCTAGCAAACAAGTGAACAATTCAGTAAGAAATGTCCTGTGCGCAGGGAGGCATGTGGAAGAGGCTCCTGCTGTGTCAATGTGCCAGGCAGTGCTGACCAAGGCCTCCTTCAGAAGCCCTCCACACTCTAGGGATGAGGAGCACGGGGACTCCAGGATGGGTGAAGGCCACTGGGCACTGGGTCAGGGTGTGAGTGCCTCTCTGCTTGGGTCTGGGGGTGAGTGCCTCTCTGCTTGGGTCTGGGGGTGAGTGCCTCTCTGCTTCCACCCTGGTGTCTTCACTCCCACGCAGGCCTCCTGGAAGCCTGGCCGGACGCATGCACTTCTGTCTGTGCTGGGGAATCTCAGGTGAGGGTGACTGGCATTGAAGAAACTCCATGTGCCAGGAGACACTCACAGAGACAGACAACGATGACAGAAGATGGAAGGTGCTAGAGCAGCGGCAAGCCGGGAGTGCCAAGAAGACACCCAAGCCAGAGCCACCAGGCAGAGCCACCAACCCCACCAGAGTCAGCAAAGGCCACTGGGAGTGGCACTCCTGTCTTAGGGCAGAGGGCAGGAGGGAGCCAGGGAGGAGCCTGACAGAGCGAGGCGAGCCCTCCGAGGTCTCACGTCCCCTTCTTCTTCCCCTCCTTGTGTCCCCTCCTTCCCCTCCTCGTGTCCTCTTTGAATTGTTCCTTCTACGTCTTTTCTGTTCCCCTAATTTCTTTCTTTCAGCTTCTCCATTTGTTTTTTAAATTTGCAGTGATTAAGACCAGAAAAAAAAATTAAAGATATATTCTATAAGATAGGTTTTATGATTTGTTGCTTTAATAGAAGAAACAGAAGACTATCAAATCTTCCTTCCCTCTGTTGCCCCAGGAACCTCACAAAACTAGATCCAACTGGGGTTGGCTTCTACGTGGTCTTCTGGCTGCGGTATTCTCTGCTAAGGTTCTCTTCTCCACTCCAGCCGGACTCTTGAGCTTTTAAATATTGGTTCGCCGAGAGCTGGGTGGCAGCATTTTATGACTTTGTTCATTACACAAAGGCTGGTCTGAAGCACTGCTGTGTGGGCCACTTGTGAGCGCATAGTTACAGGACAGGACCCTGAGACAGGAGGATGCCAGGAGCCCATTCAGGGAGCCTGGATGTGCAGCGTGGCCGGCCCTGCTCTCTGGGGGAATTTGGGGTTCTCTGGGGCCAGGGAGTATAAGAACTGAAATCTCTCCTGAAGCCACAGACTATAAGCTTGGACCTGTAGCCCAGCATTGGCAAAGGCAATGTCAGACTTCCCAGCAAAACCTGCCCCAGCGTGGGAGGTCTCTGCAGGCCTGTCACCCTGCCCTCACCCACCACTCACCAGCCAGGGTCACACAGGAAACTGACATATTTGGAAGGGAGTGGAGCTGTCTACGCAGAAATCACCTCCAAGACAGCAAAGCCAACCTAACTGTCTCACTGACGTATCTAAACAAAAACATTTTCAGTAGAAGGAAAGCAGGGGTGGTCTCAGAGGTGACTGTGGGGGACCTAGCTTGGGGGGCTCCACGTGGAGAGGGAAGCAGAGGTGGTCTCTGAGGTAACCGTGGGGGACCTAGCTCGGGGGTCTCCACGTGGAGAGGGAAGCAGAGGTGGTCTCTGAGGTGACCATGGGGGACCTAGCTCGGGGGTCTCTGTGTGGAGAGGGAAGCAGGGGTGGTCTCTGAGGTAACCGTGGGGGACCTAGCTCGGGGGTCTCCATGTGGAGAGGGAAGCAGAGGTGGTCTCTGAGGTGACTATGGGGGACCTAGCTTGGGGGTCTCTGTGTGGAGAGGGAAGCAGGGGTGGTATTGGAGGTGACTGTGGGGGACCTAGCTCGGGGGTCTCCACATGGAGAGGGAAGCAGAGGTGGTCTCTGAGGTAACCGTGGGGGACCTAGCTCGGGGGTCTCCACGTGGAGAGGGAAGCAGAAGTGGTCTCTGAGGTGACCATGGGGGACCTAGCTTGGGGGTCTCCACATGGAGAGGGAAGCAGAGGTGGTCTCAGAGGTGACCGTTGGGGACTTAGCTCGGGGGTCTCCGCGTGGAGAGGGAAGCAGAGGTGGTCTCAGAGGCGCCTTTGTGGGACTTAGCTTGGGGTCTCCGCATGGAGAGGACCTGCCCCCTAGCTGGAACCACTGAAGGTCTGAATGATCATAAATAATAACCCAGCAGCCTCGTCCTCTTGGCTGAGCTCGTGGGCCCCTGGCTTTCCTGCAGGCATTTTCTCCAGTGTCGTGCCTGTGCTCACATGTTTAGCTGCGTGACTCTCTCTGTTGTGACTTACTTTGCCAGCAGGAATGACCAGGAGGGATGGGGATTCCACAGGCAGGAGCAGCCACGAGCGTAATGCAGGCATCTCTGACTGCGAATTGGCTTTCTGGGTTAGGCTGTGGACACCACTCTCCGAGCTGGTCTAATGTATGTCTGCCCCTCAGGGAGAGGTGGGCAGCCCATGCAGGCACATCGGACACAGCCAGAGTCTGTGAGCTCCTGAGGACGAGGCCAGGGACCCAAGTGGCAAAGGGCCAGTGAGGCCTTGGATACCAGCCGGGGGTTCCCCAGGCAATACCACAGGACTCAGCCCTGGGGTTCCCTAGCAAGGGGACGAGGAGTGGCATGTGGTGGGAAGAGAGGCAGCCTGAACTCGGAAGGGAACCAGGTTTGGCAAGCACACAGTTCTGCCACAAGCCAGCGGGGCAATCTTCTTCCAATTTCGTAAAGTGCTCATGGCCTCAGTTTCCTCCTCTGTGTGATGCAGAGGCCAGAGGGCAGGATACCTCTGAAATGCTGCCATCACATCATCATCCATGTCAGATTCCAGAGGACTCACTGGACATCTGCTCCACCCTGAGGCCACGAGCCCCCTGCCCAGCTGGGAGTGTGGGGTTGGGTGGGGAGTGAGGGAGAGAGGACCCTCCCAGGAATGGGAAAGGAGCACACGCTGTTCCTGGCGTGCCACAGAAGACCCAGCCCAAACCAAGTTCAGTTACACACTCTGTCTGCGAGACTGTGACACAGACAACAGCCCAAACCAAGTTCAGTTACACACTCTGTCTGTGAGACTG